GCACTCTTATAAGAGAAGCAAGGGACTTGATGAATCCAAATATAATCCAGAAACTGGAAGACTTGAGAAAATTGATTCAAGATAATTTTATGTAAGCACGATATTCTATTTAGAATCTTACTCTGATTATCTGGCTTAGCATCTCGTCTCCGGAGCCCCTCCAAGTGAACGTAATGCAATAAATTATGGTGATGACAAAGTGGATACTTGGCCTTCTTTTGCAATTTTGAAGCTCAGCCCTGAAATGCTTGCAACATAACGGCCTGATCTTGCAAAATGCTCAATTGATATGTGGTTATGCAGCAAAGACAATTTAGCTGTTCTACGTTGTATGCAGACTTTAATGTATGGTATAATGGTAGAATAGGCAACATATTGGGAAAATATGACACTTCGTAGTTCAAAGAGAGTCTAGGATGAGGAATCTTATGAGCGAGAGTTATGTGTTCGAATTTCTACTAGCCGATCGCTAAGTCGTTGCTCGAGCATTCAAAATAGAAACATTGTCGCTAGTCTGTCGCTCAAGCGGAGCTCCTGTCACTGGACTATCGTTCGAGCGACTGTGCTAACCATAAAACCCTTGTTTGCGTTTTTCGAGAGTCCTATCTATCTTGTAATACTCCAAAACATAAATACTATATACTCAAGCCCAACTTTGTGAAAAGATTGGTTGAATATTATTTTATCAGATAGATTGCTATCATCACATCCTACATATTATTCAATATATATTGATTCAACCAAAATCATTGAAAACATCAAATCCATATAATCAAAACACCGCAACCCAACTTTCCCATAATATGTCAGAATTATGAAGATCGAGGAAGGTGATCGGAGTTCTAGTTGAAGGAGAACAAGAATTCTCATTTGATCCACAAGAGAAACGATTCCAGAAGATCGGGAGTTGATGCAGGAGCACGCAATTCAGGAGGATCGTAGTGATTAGAGTCAAGAGGCCAGAAAGTACTAATGTTTAGTCAGTGAGAACAATCTGTAAGTCTTTATTGTTTATAGTGGATATTACTGGCCTATGCCCGAAGTTTTTATCCCGCGAGGGGTTTTCTCCATCAACAATTTCGTGGCGTTATTTATTTTTATACAATATATCAACTGCAATAATTCAACTTAGGATAGTATTGCATGTGAATTCATCTGGATAAAATTAATAATTATAACTTGCTGTTGTTATTAAATAATAAATTTAAATTCCGCATACAAGCATCTATTTATACCCCTTTAAGTGTTAGTTGGATCAAACTCGTAACTCTCAACTTCCAAACCTCCGTGGTGATTACAGTCAAGAGGTCAAAAAGTACTAAGGTTTAGTTAGTCATAAGAGTCTATAAGTTTTTATCGTTTATAATTGATACAACTAGGGGTGGGCGCGAGTCGGTACGGTTCGGTTTTTTTCGGTTCTAGAAATTTTCGGGTATTTAGTAAATGGAACCGTCGGTTCCAAATATAATTTTGGAACCGTTCGGTTCGGTTCTGTACGGTTCTGTACTATAATTAAATTTT